GGCCTCCCAGAGTGCTAGGATTACAGGCATGAGCCACCGCGCCCGGCCAGATAACTATTATATAATATTAATTATACAATGATAAAGAATTCTATTTCTGATTTGACCTAAGAAAAGATGGAACACACCAAATAATCAGAACTTAAGTGACATTAATTTTGTAAAATGAATCAATTTTTGTGCATATATTACTAAAGAGGAATGAGACAAAATCTTAGGAGTGATGAATGAAGAGGTTACACTGATGTATAAAATTAAAACAATTAGAACTACACATGTCCAATTGCCAGAAGGGAAACAAGAAGCGTAAATCTAATTTATTGGGCCAACGTATTGGAGTGCTCGTGAAAAGTCAAACAGAACACGCGACTAAGAGACATTCATAACATTACCTTTGGATATCTTTTCTTTTGGCTGAGAGATAACAAGCGTCACATCTTCAGGTGCATTTTGCAGTATTTCAATGGCAGCATGGTGGCCGACTCCCTCCAGACTCACACTATTCACAGATATCAAACGGTCTCCTGTATAAATAGACAATCCAGTATTTTCAACAACACAGAGAAATTCATTCTAAATCTTACCAATGTCATCCCTTCCTGAGTATTTTTATTTGACTTAAGTTCTACTTTTGCCATCTTTGCAAATTCATGCTTGTTACTAAGTGCTTAGAAAACCACCAAAATGTAAAGTACCTGGCTTTAAGCATCCATCCAAGTCAGCTGGTCCTCCAGGGGTGATTGAACTGATAAATACCCCTAGATCCAGTCTTCCCATCTTCTCCCCACCAATAATTTGAAATCCTGTAAAATAGCACATTTAAAAAAGATTTTTATGATACTCATGCTTTCAATGACTAATGATTAGCTTGCTTGAAACACAGAAATGTGGAGACTGTTGATATCAAATATGATTGATAACACACGTTAAACACATCTTTGGCATTTAGTGATTAGGTGGGTGGGGTGAGGGGTTGTGGGTGGGCAGCTAGTATCTTGATTGGAACTGGGCTGGTGTCTCAATGCCAATGCTAAGCTATAGACTTTTCTGTGAATCCTCACAGACCTTCCAGGATCTCACAGTGACTTACCTAAGCCATACTTTGCATCTTTTTTCAGGTTCACCAACGTGATCTCCCTTTCTGGTGAAGATACTATGCTCCATCTTTTGTGTAGTATATCTATTGAGAATTTATAATTTTAAAATAAATAAACATAACATGTTCAGGCACTAAGATTGTCAGCTTGTTACAATTCAAACGTTAAATCTTGTTAATAGATTGCTCAGTCACTTAAAATTTTTATTTTAAGGTTATTGGTATGGTTACATTGTTACAGTGATTTATAGTTTTAAAAACGACTATATTATCACACTGATTCCTCGCAAACTATTTCCTTTGAAATCAATATATTTCCGTTACATATGATTAAATCTCAAGAGGTTAAATGATTTGAGCAGGCTTAGTCAAAAAAGAGCTAAACGTTTAACTTAGGTTTTCTGACTCCATCTCTTTCTGTTCCTTCACAATTGACTCTGAATTTGACAATGCTCAATATATTAAGAATTTCCCTCTAATAAATAGTTGACATTTTTATTTATCATTAGAAAATATTCTTAGTAAGTTCTTGAGTAAAACAACAATAAGAAACTGGACCTATTTTTAAAAGTCCCACTAATAATGTCCTGTCCAGCACATCTACTCTTAAAGAATTTTCATTTATTTCACATTTGTGGAATAATCTCGAGGTAAATAAAGAGATTTTTAATAATTGTTTTGCAGATGAGGAATAACAATTTGTTGTTCCTCAACAGACTTGCTCAACATTACAGCTAGTATCACTGCCCAGCAAAATGCCTAAAGTCAGTAGTTGATAAATGCTAGTTAAATAAATCGAATGAATGTCAGCATCAGAACTAGAATTTACTTTTTCTTATTTCCACTAGGTTTTTTTTAAAGTAGGCTAATCATTCCCAAATATCTTAATTAAACCAATAAATATGACTCTTAATTGCCATGTTAATCAAGTTAATTCATCTACTTAGCAATTCAAGCATTTGCGCGCGCGCGCGCACACACACACGCACACACTTATGTCAATTACAACTTGATAGTTTGAACTGGTCTGTGTGTGAAGGTGGTGGTAGTCGTGGGGAGTGAGTTCAACATATTCAGAAAGATATTTTTGTAAACTGAATCTTCAAATTCAACTCTATGCAGTTCTCAAGCGTATTGAAGATTTCTAAAAATTAGAGATATGGCTTCACTGAAGTATATAGAATTTCCTTAATCCTTCATATGCATTTTTATAACAACCAAACCATTATGAATCAGACCTCATTTCTGTATATCAAACATACAACTACCCATGGACTTAAAATTGTATCAGTATGTTATAAAACAAATAGTAATTTTGTTACACAACATATATCGATGCTTAAATGATGTAAATATGATACTTCATATTCTAGAAATGAAATCATTTATTTTCAGAGAACAGTAACAACAATAATTTCCTCTCAGGAGTGAATTAACCTTGTGTCTTAAGCAACACTTTAGAGCAAGTTTGCTAGTTCCCTGTAGTGTATATGCTCCTATTCTGTTGTTTCTTTGACTAAAACTTAGTTATAATTAATAAGAGTAACAATAATTTGGCATTTCTAATTAATTTATCAATGAGATTACAAAAAATCACTCGATAATGGTGTGCAGAGCCTACGTATTAGGTAGTCCTAAGCAAAAGCCCACCCATTAATTAATGCCTAGCTTAATGGGATTATCTTTATCCTACAATAGGTAATTAGCTAGAACAAATACAAATTAACACAGAACAAAAATCATAAAATAAAACAAATAAGGGGGTTGGTCACATGGGGAATCGAAATCAGTATAGTGTTTAAGTGACCATATTGGTGAGGTGGTATAAGAGAACAGATAAAATCAAAGTGCTTTGTAAAGTGATTAAATGATGACATTGCTTTGAATTTCCATTTTCTCCTCTAAGTTTCAGATTTAACCACCTGCTGCCCAGGAATCAGGATACCTAGACACTGATTAAATTCATCATTCTACGGTACTTAGTAAGTCCAAAGGCATGTAGTTCTTGGAAAAGCAAAATCTTAGGTAGTAAATATAGCATAAAATGAATGAAGAAGGAGGAGAAAACAGCCTGGGGGGAATGATGGCTCCTGAGTTGCTCTGTTCCTCATCCCAACTAAGAATAGAAAGGTACTTAACCTTGCTAGGTTTTAAACGTCCTAATAAACCCACTGTAAGTTGAAAATATCGTAAGTCAAAAATGCATTTAATACACCTAACTTACCAAACATCATAGCTTGGCCTAGCCTACCTTGAATGTGCTCAGAACACTTACATTAGCTTTCAGTTGGGCAAAATCATCTAATACAAAGCCTATTTTATAATAAAGTATAGAATAGCTCATGTAATTTATTGAATACTGCACTGAAAGTGAAACAATGGTTGTATGGGTACTCAAAATATAGTTTCTACCGAATGCCTATCACTTTTGTACCACCATTAAGTTGAACCATCATCAAGTCAGGGATCATATGTAGGTTGTAGTCTGGACATTATAGGAAGCAACATGACAACAAACTGAGCTAAAACTTTTCAATTACTGTGTAATAATCACAGAAAAACAAAAAACATTAAAAATAAAGTTTTATAATTCTTGGATAAGCTTTACATTTTTTTTACTCTTTTAAAAACATTTTAAATAATATAATTTTTTTTTCTTTTTTACCAGCCATATGCACTTGAGACATGCATGGCTTAATCTTTAAGACAGGCATATGCTACTAGAAGGATCAACCAGGTAGTTTTTTACTCTTATAAAGGAATATAAGTGGGCTTTTTGAGAAGTTGAGCAACTTTTTTCCTGAAATCACAATTAAGGGATTAGAATCCTTTCCACATCTGTTTCAAAGTGTGAGATTAGAAGACACACGACTTTTTTCTTTTACCTTCTCTTTCAAGTTTTACATTCTTTAAGAATCTCTGGAAGCCATAAAAGGTAAGAGTGAATTTAATACATTCATCCTTGTTCTAAGTGATGAATAATTTAACATTAACTGATGTTCATTTATAATTTGCACTTAGTAATCTGAACCAGCAGGAAGAACATTGAAATTAGAGTAAGAAGTCCCATATCTGACTCATGGGCAAGTAATTTAACTTTTTGATCCTTAGTTATTTTATTTGGAAAAACATGTTTGTCATGCTCTATTACGTGAAAACCTGATTTTCAAGAGGGCGCTAATTTAGGCTACTTGGCCAGATTCAAAAAGAGTGTTGAGGAAAACATGGCCTTCTCTGGAAGCTGACTGGGGCACACCTCCACTGGAAGGTGGACTGGCCCTCCTATAGGAAGCAGGTGGGGGGGGATCAGGCTTCTAAAGGGTTAAGTAGAGAAACTACTCTGTACATTGGATATCCAATATGAATTCATATTCTCTCTCATCAGAACCTAAGTTAAAACACATTTCAAATTCTCATCCCTAAACAGATTATTATCCAGCTTCTTTCAAAAGTTTAGCAGGGAAAAATAATACCTAGAAATAATTAGGCATTACCATACTAGGAGGAGGTCTAACAAGTGGATCACAGAGTGGGCTCTGGAAACAGATTGCCTTTGTTCAAATCGTGGCTCCACAACTTGCTAGCTTTATGACCTTCTGCACAACTCAACCTCTCTTATGCTTCGGTTTCTCATTTGTGTAAGGGAAATAACATTAGTGCCCATCTCATAGGGTTGTTGTGGGGAGTAAATGAGAAATTAACATAAAGTGCTTAGAACAGTGATTGGTATATAGTAAGCACTCAATAACAGCTAGTCAATAATTATTACCACATGGACATGTTCATTTTAGGTACATAGGTGTTCTAAATTCAGTCCATGTAAGCAGTTTGATCATCAAAACCTATATACCAGGGTCTTAGTAACTTAGGCCCAAGTATAAATTCAATAAATTTTTCTTTAATGATAGGCCCTTAGATTTTTTGAGGATTGATACATTTAAAAACAAAATGAGATGGAAAAAACCCTCCTTCATTTGCTATAAGTATTTAAGACACTGTATATATTTTTATTTTTGGAAATAATTTTAATGCTAAGGAAAATTTTCCTTTCTTGAAGAATTTGGATGTGTATTTCCAGTAGAGAATGAGAATTATACAAAATAGAACTTGGGTGTTTGACAGTTTTGACCTACAAAAACAGCAATTCCATATGGTTCCAATTTACTCTCATACCTTCCTTTTGGTCGTAGGTATTAAGACAATTGGAACTAAACCTGTATCAAGTTTAGCTACATTAATAATTTTGATTAACATACTTGCTTCTTTCTCAACAGGCTTTTGATTTTTTTCAACTTTAAGAATCTGAGCGTAAGACTGAAACATTTTTGGAGGAAAATAGCATATAGGTAGTAATAAAACATTTTTTTCTACCCATCAAAGTTGTTAGAAAGGTCAAATAAGAAAGATAATGCATATGAAAGTACTGTGCATTCTAAATTCTAAAAATTTTGAAGCCACTGATTTTCAAGTCACTGTACATTTCTGGTCTTCTTTTTACAACTTTGTTTCTTAGATTCCTTCTAAACTACCAATCTCAACACTTAAAGTCTTCAAATTCTCCCCGTAATATTTAGGATAAGATTCAAAACTGGTCCCTACTTAGTTCTTAAGCCTCACCCTGGCCCCCATGTGCCTCCATATTAAAATTCTTATAGTTCCCTAAATCTGTTACCTTCTCTCATGTCTCCAAGTCTCTGATCTTGCCATGTCCTTGATCTGGAATGCTTACCTCCACTGTTCTGTCTGATTAAATTCTCCTTTTATTTCAAGATTCAGTTCAAGCATTGCTTTAAAATAACTACCTTAGTTAAAACTCTTTTTAATCAAAATTGTCTCTCACCTGAACTATTATCTTAACTTTCTGATTAGTGCCCTTAGCTCTAATTTGTCATTTCCTTAGTTCATTAACATTATCCTAAATCACAGGTCCCATCACATCACCACAATGTTAGAAAATACAACTCTCCTTTGACTTCAGTGTAAGGCCTAGATTCCTGGCCTTAAGGACAGAATTAAAGACTCTTCATTGTTAGGTCCAAGACTAGCTCATAAGGTAGAAGAAAAGAGAAAAGATGATGGAAATGAGGGGAAAAATATTTGGTAAACCTACCATTTTCTTTTAAGGATACTTGGGATGAAGCATTTCCAGAACTATGTATAGTCATTCCTGTGGTATAAATTAAATTATTAGACATTTTATAAGATGGTCAGATACTAGATACAGAAGTAATTTATTCTGATAAGTTCACAAAAATCAATAAAAATTAAGGCAGCAACATCATCTTTTATTTACACTGAGAAAAATATGTCTTCCCAAAACGGGCATGTTTATAATTTTAAAATCATAGTTAAGCATATTAACTTGTTTTGCAGCATAAATTTAAACACATATATTTTGATATATCAAATATGAAATGATGAAACTGAAATGAGTTTTGCATTTGTCCAAATGTTAAAAGAAAATTCAATATTCAATAAGAATGAATAAATTAAAAAAATGCAGAAAATTTTCCTTTTAAGAGTGAATTTATGGTTTTCTATAAAATATTTACTACTCTTCTTCTGATATGTGATGAATTTTCACATAGACCAAAACCTTCCTGATGAAACTAGCTTAGTATCTATGAGATCCCATTTTATGTGAACATATTTTGACAAGTTATTTCCTAAAATATGAGGCTGGGTGCAGGGGCTCACAACTATAATCCTAACACTCTGGGAGGCTGAGGTGGGAGGATCACTTGAGGTCAGGAGTTTGAGACTAGGCTGAGAAACAGTGGGACCCTGTCTCTACCAGAAAAAGAAAAAATCAGTGGGGCATGGTGGTATGCGCCTGTTAGTCCCAGCTACTCAGAAGGCTGAGGCAGGAGAACTGCTTGAGCCCAGGAGTTGGAGGTTGCAGCGAGCTATGATGACGCCACTGTACTCTACCCAGGGTGACAGTGAGACTATCTCAAAAAAAAAAAAAAAAAAAACGAATCAGTCTCTTAGACTATTTTCAACATATAGGGTTACCTATAGGATGAAACCTTGCCTTTTATCTGTTTAATTTTTTTTTAACTGATTCAACTTAAATTGATGATAGTATAATCTCTGAAAGTTGTAAAAGCCTATATTAATAAACATTACTTTCCATAAATATTTATCTACTATAATGTAGAGTTCTCTTATGACTTCAGTTATTCCACATACCCCCAATCCAATTGTAGGATAAAAAAATAGTTTTTAAATTTCTGTTATTAGGGTTAAATTAGCAAATTTTGGGCTTAAGGGGAGAGTTAAGTAGAAGTATTTGGTAAAACACCAGAAGGGGCTATTCTTGCTTCCCTTCTGTTTCCCATGCTGTGTCACATTTTGGGTAGTAGTTCAGATTTCTGTGCTTAAATATTACTCGTCTGAAAGAGTGACTCCAGTGCATTTCCCTTTTAAGATGCACAAGGCAACAGGAAACCTGAACTATTTATCTTACAAGGTAGCATTTTAAATAATTAATAGGCTCCAGCTTGCTGGGAGGATTTGAAGAAATGTAAATCAAATAAGAATTTATACCTACTAACCTATAGTATACTTCATAAAAGTATCTAAGTTTTTAGAGATAATTCTGTTCAGGCTAAGGTGAAAGCATCCTAAATAAACCTTTCTTCAAAAAATATAGCACTACCAGAGGCCACTCACACAGGCTTGTAAGGAAAAGTCAAAGGAAGGTGATCCAATGCAATAGCGTAAGACTGCGTTCCCTCAGTACGGCTGCCCTGGCTACCATGACCAAGAGGAAACTGAGGAATAGTCTGTGCCATTCCTTGTTAATCACCTGTTAAGTCAACTGTTGATCTGGTGTATTTTAAGTAACCTAAAAGTTTATATTCACAGTTTTGGAAGTTAGGACATAGAATCCAAAATAATTTCTGGATAATTAACCTGATCTCATTTACCTCCCTCTGAACATGAGGTACAGGACAAAAAAGGTAAGCTTGTTTATGCTGACCTAGAACACATGCTTGACCAGGGTCTTCAATGGATGAGGAGTCTGATTCATGTTTCCTCCTTTCAGGACTTCTATTTAAACTTGCAACAGACTTTGAACTAAAAAGGGAAAAGGAAGGTAGGAGGGAAGTGTCAATGTAAAAAAAATATGGTGAAAATAATAAAATGTTAAAACAAATGTATGAAATGTGTAATTTACAAACATGTAGTTTGGGTAAGTCACTCATATTCTTACTTATTAAGTTTTGTGAATCCTGCCAAAGATTCTGTATCAGATCTTCCCATCTGGTGAAAAGGTTTTCCCACGAGCTCCGCAATGGTTTGTGGTGGGGATTCCATGTTAACAATGACATTTTTCCGATGAGGATAGAGAGAGGCCTGACTGAGATCATGGTATGATTTACTCATCCCTCTGGGCTTTTCCTCCCATGAAGCTTTGTCACTCTTCTCTTTTGAATTGTTTTGCAATGGCTGGTAAAGCGACAGCTCAGAGCAGGAGAGCCTCTTCAGAATCTCAGCTTGAACTGACAAAGGTCGAACGGCAAGTTTGTTCAGGGTGCTGCCGGCCAGACTGCCAGTGCTGACTGCTCGTCCCATATTAAATCCTCTAACGGACTCTGCTTGGAGATTCAGGCTCCTAAACGAAGCTCTCTCTACAAGGAAATAGGATTGCTTACATGATGGAAACACCGCGGTACCTTTATGAGAAGAGTTATTTTAATAAAGAAAAGACAGCATGCAGTTTTTCATCATTTTGACTGCCAGCATAAGTAGCTTTCAAAGTATGGCAATCAAGAGTTTGAAAGAGGAGGTTTGAAGATCCTGGCTTTCATACCATCTCTCCATCCTTTCAGCTTTTAGCTGCAGCTGACTCAGTGTTTCCTACTTCATTTAATGATTCTCTTGGATCCAATAATATTTGGAGCTCAGGCTTGCTGACCCCAAATTCCTTATGGGTTTCAGTTAGAAATGAGAACGACATTTAACGGAGAAATTTTCAACCCTAGTAGTGTCCCTGCTAAAATATCCGCAAACCAAGGATGGAGAGAAGGAGAGATGAAACCTGGATGAGCTGACATGGTGAATACACGCCTGAAAAAGAAGCTGTGCAGGAGTTTTGCACAGCGAAAAAGTTCTTGATTATTATACTTTTAAAAGCTCAAGGCAGATTGTGGTGATGGCGAATTGTACACTTTACATCGGTGTATTGTATGATATGTGAATTGTATCTCGATAATGTTGTTCTTGATTATTATACTTTTAAAAGCTTAAGGCAGATTGTGGTGATGGTGAATTATACACTTTAAATGGGTGAATTATATGATATGTGAATTATATCTCAATAATGTTGTTACCCCCAAAAAAACTCTTCAAGCAAATTATTTGTTAATTCACTACTATGCCACTCTCACTTTCCTACCTTGCTGACTTAATGATTTAACTGAGGCAAAGGAGGCAGGGGAGAACCAAATAGTACTAATCTCTCTGTTTTGGTATCTGCAAATTTATACGATCAGGGAGATGGGGATCTCTTTATGCTTGAATTCCTTTCGCTCCCAAATAAACATCTAAAGTCTTCTTTTTGAGGCTAAATTTCGAGATAGTTTTTATAACAAGTGCTTGGCTATTCTGTTTTGTAAGAACCAATGTCATATCAATATTTTAACATTTAGACTATTAACGAAAGCATTGCAGCACATGTAAATAAAGGATAGAAGAAGAGAATTTCTGATGATTTAGTTGTTCATGCATTTAGTGACGTACATCACAAGGCACTCCCTTTGATCCCCCTGGAAAGAAGTAACCCTGTGATGCATTCTGTATGGAATACATCTTGACTACCATGTAAAATAGCGGGGAAAAGTTCCTTTTAAAAAGAAAATGATGCCCTCAAGGGTCCCAGGTTGAAAAAGAGAAAAAGAAAAGAAAATGTCAAATGATTACTTAGATCTTTAGATTCTGTTTCATTTATCTTCTAATTCCTTCTAATTCATTTATCTTCTAATTAGTAACTGGTATTCCATCTCAGTCATAAGCAGGTTGGAAAACATTGAAGATTTGTAATATTCATGCATAGGAATCAAGTTTAAATAAATATGTCTCATTGTCACCAGGAAAATTCAAAGTTCTTTCTCTGAATTAGAAGTAGACACCAAGTTAAAAACAAGACATTAAATCACAAGACCTTAAAAAAAGACCTTCGCTTAAAAATTCCCAGAATCATTTTTAACTTAAAATATGGAGTTTTTCTTAGAGCAGGTAACACTATTTCTATTTTCTTTTACTTTGAGAGCAACCTTTAAAGAAGCAAAACAGAGTCTTAAGAGGATTCAATTACAGTGGAAATGCCTTTAAACCCAATAGATTTTTTCATCTTTAAGAAAAATGTAGACCAAGCTTTGGAAAAAATAAGGACAGCTGGTTCAGTTTAGGTTTTATCTGTTTTGTGAACATATTAGAAATTACGCTGTTCAAATCCATTCATAAGCCTATTCCAGGATAAGACTTAAAATATTGCCTATACTCATGGGATGGGATCATAAACCAACCACTTATCTGGTCTGTCCTGCTGCCTTTTACCTGGAAAGGACTCCAATATGGATCAACAGTATGGGAAAGGACATTAGAATGTGCTTGTATCCTAATACTAAAAATGTTCCAAATTTGAACACAAAGGCTTACTAGTTCTGCACTCAGTCTCTAATCCATACTTTCTAATCTCTGTTTCTGCTATTGTTTAGTCCCTTAAACCATTTTGTGCTTCCTTATATTGTCAACTTAATCATATTTTGATTAAGGGACTTCACTTATTCTGTTATCCCACAGTGTAAGTGATCATTAATCTTAATTTAATTCAATGCAAATCAGTTCTTGGGAAATTCATCAAACAGAAAGTATACTAGATTAGGAATGAGGACCAGGGTTCTAGCCTAGTGTGACCTCTAACTATGAAGTTAGGGTGAAACACTGTCTTCTCTGAACCTTTTTCTGCATTAGTAAAATTTTAGACTTAGTGGCCTCTAAGGTTCTTTCTAGAACCAACATTCAATGACTCTAAAGAAGTAGCATACATTTGTTAGCCCATCAACTTCCTACAGATAATCCCAGTTATTTTCACTTATCTAGTACACATAGTTAAATAGGCATTGGTTACTTCTAAGCCAATTTTAAGTACGTAATCATTCATTGAAGGTTTAACAAAATCTGGGAAAAGATGTAGATCACACCATCTTAAAGTGCTTTCACATATGAGTTCACACATACATAGCTGTTGTGATCCTAGTGGCAAACCTGTGATATATGTAGAGCATTCCCCCACTGCATGGATGAAGAAAATGAGACTGCAAAAAGTCAGTTACTTTCCTAAGGTTATTCATCTACTACTACAGCTGCTACTACGACTACATAGTATAGTGGCATATAGTAGTGTACTATGTAGCACACAGTATAGTAGCAGTATCTTCTACTATTGTTGATACTACTGCTATTACTATGGTAGTGGTAAAACAATGTTGATGATGGTGATGATGATGATAATAATAATACTGAATATTTACTGAATACTTTCTCTGTACCAGGTACTTTTAAAGTGCTCTATATGTATGAATTCTTTCCTCTATACAACCTTATGATGTAGGTATTGTCACTATGATACTCATTTTACAAATGGAACAACTGAGCCAGAGAGTTTAAGTAGCTTGCCTAAGGTTTTAGGGCTTCTAAGTAATAGATCCTGCAGTTTGGCTCCAAAGCTCATGCTCTTAACTACTATTCTATATTGTTCTTCAGTATAAGAAATGCTGAGGATGGAAGGCTAGCTTCATACTTTTGTCTTCTGACTCTCTTCACTATACCACATCTGTGATGAAGTAACCTTCAATTGTTCAATTCTGGTTTGTACTGAATGGAATATAAGTCCAAGCAGGAATGCTGATGACACCAATAGGTTTTATATTTCACTATACTTTGTAATTATGTAAGAATGTATAAATTTTTTAGCAGAGCAAAGCAGAGAAAGAAAAAGAATAATGAGATTACTTTACAGTAGTGGTGATTATATTTTAGCATGCGTAAAAATCATTACTGAAAAAAGCCTGTTAAAATGCAGATTCTAAGGACCCAGTTCCCAAAGACTGTGATTCTCCAAGTTTCAGGTAGGTTCTTGGAATCTTCATTTGAAATATGCATACAACCCCCACCTCCATCATGATTCTAAAAGGTTGCAAAACATCCATTCATAGGTTACTATGACCCCAGTATGATTCTATGGGGAAAATATTTTCCTTAACATTTCAGAATGTAAGAAATTTTGTTTTGTTTTCTTTTTTTTTTTTTTTTGAGACAGAGTCTCACTGTGTTGCCCGGGCTAGAGTGCTGTGGCATCGTCCTAGCTCACAGCAACCTCAGACTCCTGGGCTCAAGCGATCCTTCTGCCTCAGCCTCCCGAGTAGCTGGGACTACAGGCATGCGCCACCACGCCCGGCTAATTTTTTTTTCTGTATAGATTTTTAGTAGTCCGATTAATTTCTTTCTATTTTTAGTAGAGACGGGGTCTCGCTCTTGCTCAGGCTGGTCTCAAACTCCTGAGCTCAAACAATCCGCCCACCTCGGCC